CCAAGCGAACGTTGAATTTAAATCAATCGAGCCCAATCAGAAAAATTGATGGAATTTAATCTGTGTTTTTTTTTTCCAGGAAATTATTATTTTTTTACCCATAAAAGTTAGAACATCGAGTACCTTCCTACCTAACGAAGTTAGTAGAGTTTTCGTCCTTCCCACAATTGAAATAATAAATAAAACTTCTTCGGTTAGGCTTTAAGTAAATTTATGTCTGCAAATAAGTTAGGAAAAGTTCGTTGACAAAATTTGTCCGCGTAAAGCGACTGAAATGTCGACAGAAAATTATTCTTTATAAAAGATATAATTGTCGTTTCCTAGACTTTAACTTTAAACTTTTCGGGAGATGACGACTAAACTTCCAAACTTTTAGACCATTTATTTTCCTTGTTTATTGTGGACAATTAAAAGTTTCCATTTGTCTAGTGTTGAAGTTGCCTTAATTATTTTCGAAAGTCTATTAAAATGTAAATGAAATTTTATACTCACTTTACTTTGTTAACTCTCTAAAAATATTCGTTATCATTTATTATAGATGATTCCATTTTTCCGGAATTCTTATCTACTTTTAGAAGGTCGGAAACTAGAAAACTTTGAGTCAAAGTGATATCGAGGATGAAAAGAACAAGTCGCATTATATTAAAGTTTTGTAGGAAGTTGCGCGTCTAGAAGGTAATTTATGCTTGGATGGAATTAATCATATTTTGCAACTTGACGTTACGTTACGATAGTTTTTATTTATTTATTTATAGAGAAGAGAAAATTTAGAGTTGTTTTTTGTTCACAACAATGTAGCAGGTGAAATGCTACTGTTATCAACTATTCCTTTTTCTTCCAAATATTGTTTTATAATGGCGTTTTCGATTGGTAGATTCAATGAGCACTGAGTGTATTTGCATCCTTTTAATCGTCCTGTAGAAAAGAAAGGCAGAGATAGGAAAAATTGCACTATATCTACCAATCGGAAACGCCATAAGTTTTTACTTTATTATTATAACCTTCAATGTTGACAGTCTGGTGACTGGCATAAAAAAAAGGTTTTTGCTGCTAATAATATTAGCAATTATTAAACTAGAGGATTTTCGTTTAAATTACTACTTTAGTACCAACGCTTTCCGTTGGCTATTTTTTGGGAAGCCTGTTCATCTTTTCCGTTTCTTACCTCGTCCCTTCTGAATTTTGCCGTTCGAGCTGAAAGGTCCACTCTGGCCTGGGAGGCAACCTTCTTCCTGAGTGAAGTATAATATCGATTAACGTTCTCGTGGAAAAAGTACCTTATCGGCCATTAGGCACTATTTTGACGAAATAAAGTTGCGTAAGGCAATGGCAATCCATTAACTACCGAAAAATTTATTGTCGAAAGTCTTATAATTACCGTTTTGTTTGAGTTTGAATTTCGAACCCCCTCGTGGTAAGTCCTTTTTATTTTTTTAAGTAATGGTTAATCATGGAATGCCTTTATTACTTAGGGTTTTCCGGGGAACCGTTTTTTTTTTTCCGATGAGCTGTTTTTCCGAGCAGCCGCTTTTCTCAACGAATCCATTTCCAGAATGCCACATTTCTAAAAAAAAAACACCATTTTCGTGGAGCGTGTTTAGAGTGTGTAGAGTTTCATTCAGAGGCTAGCAACAAATTCGAGCGCGCCAAATTCGTTCTCTCTCGCCGAGTTCAAAATAGACCGCGATAGACGTCGTTACGGCAAATATTTCTGTGATAGCGGACGGGTGTGATCAAATTGCATGGAAGGTGGATAATAAATACTATGGGCTTTTGTGGAGTCAAAACTAATATGCCTATAATATTTATTATAAATTGAAATATGTGCAGTTATAATATTCTTATAATAATAGATATTATTTAATCACATTGTGCTGCTTTTTATAACAAAGAGTGTAAAGAATATAATGCGCGGAAACAGAAAAATATTACGATGCTATAATAAAATGTACCCTGTACCTACAAATACAGCAAAATAAATAGTTGAGTATGAGCGAAAAAATGAAAATTCACATATTGGTGAGATTGCTAATCAATAATAATTCATTAATTTTACAGTTTGTTATTAATTACAATGTAGAGATGCAGAAAAAATCTAGGATTTATACTTAATAGCAAAGAAGTTTAAACTCTCAACCTTGTGTAAAGTTTGCATATTTTTTCATTAACACATCAAATAGTAATAATTATTGATAATAATACACCGGTAGCGAAAACGATCCCTGAGCCCTTCTCGAATATTCAAACTGTAGCGTAACTCGGCTCAGTATGGTCAAAACATGCTTCAGGAACGTTCCCGCTTTGCATTATTAATAATAATAAGCTATTATTCTTCAAGTGTTCTTGTTAATGGAAAAACATGCAAACTTAATAGAGGGTTCAAAAAAAAGTGGTGCTTTATTGTCAATTTACCCGCTACTTGTTGCATTTTTGGGAAGATTATTGCTGACTATTTCACTAGAGTGTTTTACACATAGAGAAATATAATAGTAGTAAACTACGAGAGAAGTCATTCCCCTGTACTTAACTGGCACAATGTCGACGTTAGCGCCCCTGGTGGCTACGGAAAGCAATAAAAGAGTGAACATTCTTTGATTGCAGGTTTCTTCTTTACCGACAGTGAAAAGGCGGCTTTTTTGAATAATTAAATTATTAACTTTGATTTTATTTGAGATTTATTAAAAATAAAGTACTGTAAACGCTTAAAACAGTTAATTGCAAAGCAATACATTTGTTGAAAAAACTTGCTAAAATTTACCGAGCAACTATTTAGAACGATAACAGAACTTATTTTTAAAAAATCCAAATTAGATGCAATGAGATTCCTTAAGGGGGTCAAGGAGGTAATTGAACAATAAAAAAATTGAGATATCTTCAAACAAACTTATTTTTTTATTCCAATTTTATAAATATACAGTAACTAAAAATGTTTGTATTATAAGCTTTGTGTTAACCTTTTTACTGCATCTCGCATCATCGCAAATTCGAAAACACACTATTATTGGTGTCGGTTTTGTCTAATTAATCAATAATTATGATCACAGAATGTTTTCATTTCCCTGATATAAATAATAGAAGAAATTTTAAGTAATGATGATGAGCATTCAGTTTTTGATTGATGGTCTTTGGATTTAATCATTTGTCAAATTTTGTATTTTGTATGTGTTAAAAAAAGATAGAACATTTTCGGGAAGTTGGTGAAAAAGACAAATTAAACCAAGTTGTCAGAAACGATCGAAGTAATTAGTTCAATAATCTGTCACACCATGCGAAATACGCTACGGGTATGTGCATAAACACACTTCCAGATTGTTACATTAAACAAACGTCTCCCGTAGTTTACTACTATTATATTCCTCTATGGTTTTACACTGGCAAAATGTCGAAGGAACGGCCGGTTTTCTACTGACAAAACTTCTACCTGTTCCTACCTGGGCAAAACCAACATGATGGTTTTTCAGCGACAAAATTTTGTGTGGTTAAGGTAAAAAACTATTGAGTTTGACAAGTGTCACCTAAAAAAAAAAATTTCAAATGAAAATTTGGCTTGTTTTTCTCGTGGAATAGTCCAGCCGAATACCACTCAAGAAAAATTAAGTAGGTAAAATTATTCTCTTGGTTTTATTCAAGTTTGTTGCTTTTTGGTAATTTCGCTCATGAAATTTTTGACAAAACCACTCGCCTAACGGCTCGTGGTTTTATCAAAAATGTCATTCGCGGAATTGCCAAGCAACAAACTTTCATACCAGTCGAAAATTTTGCCAACAAAATTTTTTCTCTTGTGGTATTATATATGATTATTTCACTCATTATGAAATAGACCAATCAGAAGTAAGTTTCTGAATAAATTTTGTTTAAATAAGTGATTATGGGTATTTCACAAGAGCCTGTTTATCCGCGATTAAATTTATGTTACTTTTTTTGACAGAATTTTGATAGAAATATTCTGACATTTTATAATAAATAGAACTTCTTGTTGTTGGCTTTAATCCTAATTATTCAGGAAATAATCTGGCCGTATACCACTCGACCTATAAATTTAATTGGATTAAACTATCCAAATATTTTTTGCATGATTTTGCTTTTTGGCAAATATAGTTTCATGCACAATAATTTTTTTCCACAAACGTGTTAAAAATGCAATTTTTAACACCCTCCCGTAGCATTAAAAATGTTACTTTATCGCACTAGTGTATTTTTAAGGCACTTATGTGAAACTTTCACATGCGTGCCTTAAAAATTTACTTTCAAACTGATATCATAAATAACTATTAAATAGTTAAATAATTAAGTTATTGTGCATTCAACTATTTTCCAAGCAAAATGATGCTTAAAATATTTTGGATAGTTTAATCGACTAAAGGACCACGCACGGATCTAAATTTCACGATTGTCGTGAAATTGACATATGTTATGCTTCTCGACCTCTTGAACGTAAGTTCTCGTAGGCTCAAGAAGATCCTATGATTAGTTTCGGAGATACAGAGCCGGGTTAACATACAAAATTTAGGCAATGCCATATTCTAGGTTAAAAACGGGTAGAAAAATGCCAAAGTAATGTCATCTGAAGCTTTGAAGGTTTAAAACTTGTCGAAAAATTCCAAAAATATGTTATTTTTGGTTATGAATTAAATTAATGTACCAACAAGTTATGGAGATTTTTCTTGTACTACTTTTTTTTATCGGTCTTGTATCTCCGAAACTAATCATAGGATCTTTTTGGGCCTACGAGAACTTACGTTCAGGAGTTCAAGAAGCATAACATATTTCAATTTCATGACAATCGTGAAATTAATTTTTTCTCATAAGATCCGTGCGTGGTCCTTTAAAGCTCTTGTGATATAATATATGATTATTTTTGTTTTGACTGTTGTTTAGTGATTTTGGTCATGCTTGTTTTTTTTTTTTTTTTTTCATTCGCTTCAACATATAATCCGGTTCTCTGATGGCATATTTCTAGCTAATCGGCTATCTACAAGTTCTGGTAAATAACAGTGAAACTAAATTTTTTCCAAAAATGGAAACATATTTTCTTTTAAATCATCGTCTTTTAAAATTGTTTCACACTTCATACCCAAAGGAGTCCAGACGCACAATACACAATAGGCTCTATCAGTGACAGCTAGCTGTCCCTGTACCTGAAAATACCACTTATGATTGGTATTTAAAATACATTCATCTTTGGTATACTTCCAAATTGTAATTTTTTTTTGTGAGATTCCTTCTTCTGGTGTTAGATGCCTTACGGACCATGGACATTTTATTGCCACTAGTCCGTTATCACCAATTAATCCATCAGGTGATGCCCCCAAGAATGAGTGTTTTTCACTGATAAACAATCCACATTTTTTTATAATAAGTTTTTGTTTGTTCATCAATTCCTCAAAAGCTTTTCCTTCATTATCCCTTCCCCAACTTAGCGCGCTTGATTGGATAAAGCTATTTGTGAGAAGTGTTTTGACTAAACCCAACCAGCAATTTTAGTCGCCGCTACGTATCCTCGACTACAAAGAGAACTTTAAAGTTGGCGTTACTAGTATCGGGAACCGTTTAGGCACCGTTTCTTCACCATGTTGTTACCAAAATGGGGAATGATTTTGCAGTAAGGTTTACGTGCCTGGATCGTCCTCGGAACTGTTAATTTACGTCCCGAGACCGTTTCGGGAACGTTGTGAAACCGTAAATGTGTGGTAATATCAACCAAAATGGGACTTTTTCCCATGCGCCTTCAACCTTGAAGATATTTATTTGATCTTTCTCTCTCTTTCAACTAAAATTATGTATATTATGTTACCGTTCATCCAGCCAGTACTTTAAGCCGTTCACAATATGTCCACCTTTATTTTGTTTACTTGACCATTATTACGTACCTATATGAATATTGAAAGGCTTTGATTTTCGTACCCAAGCAGCTAAAACCCAAACGAGTGAAATTTTTCTGTGAAAATTAAGTATGCTAGATCTGAAAATAACAACGCGCCCTCAAACTAAAACATTTTGATGATAAAAATATTTAAAATAGAAGATATACTAAAATACAAAATTATTTATTCAAAGGAGTTAGCACTTTTAATAGGTCCATTTTAATTAGAAATCATAAAAGTCCAAGGTTTTTATTAGTAAACAGATAATATAAGGCGTGAATTTTCTACTTTTATACAAAATTAAGTTTTTCCAAAAAATGGCGTCTTAAATTTTCTATAAAACATGGCGTAAATTATTCAATGCTACGTTGAAGTTGCCTCTAGATTCGTTAAAGTAGAATTTACCTATACATAAGTGGCGTTCACGAATCCGTTACCTTACAATGTTACTTGGAAGTGGCGAACTCTAAAGTGTTTTCTATTGTCCCTCTGCGGTTGTGGTTACCTTCAAAAACACTTAGTAGTCACGCCTACTCAAAAGTTGATTTTTTCACGTTACGGTGACAATTATTTGTTACTTTAAAGTTTTGGTGTCGAATAAGTAGCTAAACCTTGACGCCCCACGGTTCCAGCAACCCTGAAACTTACCACAATGTAATGACACCATATAGTCACCAAATTGGGTAAGTGTTACGGAAGTTCCACTAATTCTTCTAACTTACTAAAGGTTTAAACTTCATAGTAAGTTATTTGGTACCAATTACTATTTTTTTACCCAATCATAGTAGCAGTGTCGATCAGTGAGGGTTTCTATAACTTTGATGCTAGTTGGGAAGGGTCCACAATATGTTGTTGGCCTCCGCTTACAAATAGTTGCGAAATTGGAAGCAGTTAAAATAGTTCTTCTTGCTTCTAACCATTCAGTAGAATTAGCCTGTTCTCTTGTTCTTTCTTCGATGTTTTTAATTTCCGTTTTTGTTTTCTTAATGTTTTTCAAATATTCTTCCTTCCGTTCCTGGTATTCCTCAGGGGTCATGTCCGGTTTCTCGCAATTTTGTCCATAATTCTTGTCGGTATCAGTGGCCTTTTTATGATCTTTCTCTTAAAATAATTTCTTCTTGGGCTTCTGCCTGTAGTGTAGTAGTTGCCACCTTCTTTCCTATTTTTTATTTAAAATCAAAGATGGGCTGCTACCATAGTTAAACCTATGCAAACTATAGTAGCTTGAGAGTTTGGTATTATAGGTCAGTGCTGCCAAGTAACTTCTACTCTTGTACTGTCTCTTCTGGGTATAGTTAACACGTTTGCCCCCAATATATTTGCATATAACGCTGTTAAATTGTTCTACCAAAATGCTGTCAACATCATGAATTAAACTATTGCTGAATTTGGAAAGATGTGTTGGAAACATGTTCCAACAATCATGCTATCTCTTTTTGATGGCAAAATATTTTTATACATATAAAGTTTGCAACACTGCAGCGTTGTCGTCATGTCTATTTTGTCATGTCTGTCAATATATTGCGCGCCATTTTTGTCATTGCAGCAGTGTAGCTTGGAGCTTGTCCACGTTAACAAGCATCCAGAAACCTTTTCACATTTTAATAAATTTTATAATCTAGCTCTGCCCTGTTGGGCATCTAAGCAAGCTCTGGCTTCTTGTCATCTTGTAGTAGTAATTGTAAATAGTGTAAATATTGTGTAAATTGTTGTAAATATAGTGTCAGTGAAAAGCGCGTGTGTTTTAGTTCCCTATCCAGTCGATCATCCAGTCCACCTAATTATACAGTCCACTAATTATCAAGTTATTTATCTTCCATTATGTGGTTTTGCACATAATTTTGGCCAGTTCGAGCCGGATACTGGATAGTTCGGAACCTAAAAGTGCTTTAAAAACCCTCAAAAAGTGCCTTTTTAGTGGTTATTGATTGTTCCATCGTGATTTTTGGCGCCATGTGATGCAAAAAATCAATCATCCACTGTGCAGTCTGCACGTGTCTCAAACAACGTTGGGTTCCACGTGCCACCAGCGAAGGTTTCCGCCGGAACCGGAAGTGCGTAAGTAGAGTGGGGCGGAGCAAACAAACTTCACTTGTCAAATTCAAAAGGGTGCTTGTTTTTCTCGTCTGGTTCAACCCAAGTCACCCCGGGTGCAGTATCCTTGCTTGGTGCAATGAAGTACAGCCCCGGAGCAACGAACATGAAAGTGAGAGTTCACCACCCCGACAGCTTAACCTCAAATTAAATGTCAAACATTTGTTTACGTTTTGTTGTTTGTTGTTTGTGTATTTTGGATTTTTGCAGTGAATTTGAGTGAATTTGCATTATTTTTGAAAAACTGAATTTTTCGCATTAATTATTGCTATTTTTTCATTATTTATTTAAAGGATGAACAATTATCCGTTTTTCGTTTTGTTAAGTAGTTTTTAAAAAAAAAATCTAATTTATTAGGTAATTTTAAATTTTGTTTATAGATTTCTTTTGATATTTTCTTATTTTTTTTGATTGTAAACTTTGTAAATATGGCTACCAAAAAGCAAATTGATAAATTATTGTCAAAGAAAAAGCAAGCAATCGACTCCATGGTTAGAATAAGTCGTTATATTTCCGATCACAAATCTGATCCTGACAGTGAGTATAAAACCGACCAATTTTTAGTTCGGAAGGAAATATTGCAGGACAGTTTTCAAAAGCTTAAAGACATTCAAGTTGAAATTCTGTGCCTTGATGGTAACTATGATGATTCAATTGATGATGTAGAAACTCTTTTTTATGATGTCATTGTAAGTATTAAAAATTGTTTACCTAAATCTAATTTACCAGGACCAGCTAATACTAGTAATTTAGCAACTAATATTGCTCAATCGGTTTCAATTCCACCTACTCAAAGTAATAATTTTATTTCTGCTGCTAAATTGCCCCCAATTGAGATGCCTAACCTTAGGGAGGGCTTGTTAGTCATTTTAAAAGAGGATAATGTACCTTCTTATAAGTGGCCAATGGCAAGAATAGTTAAAGCAATACCTGGAAAGGACGGCAAAGTAAGGGTTGTCGAAGTGAAAACCAAAAAAGGTATTTATCTCAGATCGGTTACCAAGATTGCAGTGTTACCGATTGATGACAATAATTGTTAATAATATTTTTGAAAATTATTCACAAAATTCTGTACATATATTTGTAAAACATTTAGATTTATATTTATATTCAATTAGCTATACTCGTATATACATACATAATGTCATACTATGTGTTCCAGAAATGTTTTTTAGCTTTAATTGTTAGTTAAGTTTTCGTTTACTGGATCATCATTGAAATCATACCTTTTTTAAAAAAAGGGTTGCTTACTTTCTCTTTAATTTTTTTATTTTTTTTGCTGGAAAATTTTACCTTGGTTTCATGTGAAACTCTAGGCCCCCCAGCATGTTGGAAACATGTTCCAACAATCATGCTATCTCTTTTTGATGGCAAAATATTTTTATACATATAAAGTTTGCAACACTGCAGCGTTGTCGTCATGTCTATTTTGTCATGTCTGTCAATATATTGCGCGCCATTTTTGTCATTGCAGCAGTGTAGCTTGGAGCTTGTCCACGTTAACAAGCATCCAGAAACCTTTTCACATTTTAATAAATTTTATAATCTAGCTCTGCCCTGTTGGGCATCTAAGCAAGCTCTGGCTTCTTGTCATCTTGTAGTAGTAATTGTAAATAGTGTAAATATTGTGTAAATTGTTGTAAATATAGTGTCAGTGAAAAGCGCGTGTGTTTTAGTTCCCTATCCAGTCGATCATCCAGTCCAACTAATTATACAGTCCACTAATTATCAAGTTATTTATCTTCCATTATGTGGTTTTGCACAAGATGGTCAAATATTGTTTGGAGTTTTTGGTAAAATGCAGCTTCTTTCAGCTGAGGCACTAACTCGTATATACATACATAATGTCATACTATGTGTTCCAGAAATGTTTTTTAGCTTTAATTGTTAGTTAAGTTTTCGTTTACTGGATCATCATTGAAATCATACCTTTTTTAAAAAAAGGGTTGCTTACTTTCTCTTTAATTTTTTTATTTTTTTTGCTGGAAAATTTTACCTTGGTTTCATGTGAAACTCTAGGCCCCCCAGCATGTTGGAAACATGTTCCAACAATCATGCTATCTCTTTTTGATGGCAAAATATTTTTATACATATAAAGTTTGCAACACTGCAGCGTTGTCGTCATGTCTATTTTGTCATGTCTGTCAATATATTGCGCGCCATTTTTGTCATTGCAGCAGTGTAGCTTGGAGCTTGTCCACGTTAACAAGCATCCAGAAACCTTTTCACATTTTAATAAATTTTATAATCTAGCTCTGCCCTGTTGGGCATCTAAGCAAGCTCTGGCTTCTTGTCATCTTGTAGTAGTAATTGTAAATAGTGTAAATATTGTGTAAATTGTTGTAAATATAGTGTCAGTGAAAAGCGCGTGTGTTTTAGTTCCCTATCCAGTCGATCATCCAGTCCAACTAATTATACAGTCCACTAATTATCAAGTTATTTATCTTCCATTATGTGGTTTTGCACAAGATGGTCAAATATTGTTTGGAGTTTTTGGTAAAATGCAGCTTCTTTCAGCTGAGGCACTAAATTGTCTTGACAAGGGCTATCCTTCTCACAAAAATACCTTAGGCTCTTACAGTTCTGATGTCCCCCAAACGTATGACTCGGAATATTTAAAACATCCTTTCTAAGATTAACACACTTTGTTTGATGTGGCACATCTTTTGATTTCCGATATTTTACTGCTTTAACAATAGCTATTCTCATTCGTGAAATATTCTGTATTATTTAAGTTCTCATTTGTAAAGGACCGTTAGACGTTCTACCACATAGCTCTTCCATTTTCGTCTTAAAATTTCTTATGAGATGATTTCTACAATCGATCTTTTCTACAGGTTTTCTATACGGAAAGGATTCTAAAATTTTTTTGTGGACATTACTATCACCATCGCCAATAAATTTAGAATAACGTAAACCGTACATATCCTCACTACATTTAAAACCTTCTACAAGTATTGCAGCCTCCATACCTGTAGATGGACCATCATAATTTTTGAAACATCGATGTAATTTGGGTGTGCCAGTCTTTTTCTTGTTTATTTCACACGCTACGCAATATTTATTTTTCACACCTAAGTATAGAACCTTTTTGGTTTTATACCCAATAATGGCGGCAGCTCCAGATTTTGAGGAGTAATTTTTTCCATAAGAACGTTTAGGCCATGTGCCATCGCACGCTACTAGGATTTCCGGCACTTCATCCACACCAACATTCTTTCCAGATAATGCAATAGCTTTTTCTTCATCGGCTGCTTTGTGAATTTCTTGAATTGCACTCTCTTCTATCTCATCAAATAGTTTTGATTGAATGTCAGCATATTTCCGCTGAGAAAGTACCGGGAGTTGCAAATTATTTAAAATATCTTGCACGTGAGCGAATTCACAACCAATGCTTGTAACTACGTTCACCAAACATTTGTTAAGGTTCATCTTGTGGTCTTTGGGGTCAGCTGATAAAATCTCAGCGCTATAATTACACATATTACATTTTAGTAGAAATTTTGACAACAGCCCCTCTTGAACTTCATTAGCAAAAACTAAATTTTCTAGGGTACAACTAAACATACTATTGTGGTTTGATTCTTCTGAGAGACGATTGAGGAAATATCTTAAGTCGATAATTCGATTTCCTTCCATTATATATTGTTTCGTCCTAAAAAGTAAATAGATCAGGATTAAGAAATAAATATCAGGAAAATTTTCAATTTAGCAACTTTTTTAAGGACCGGTGTCTATTCTCGTAACCAGGGAACAGCGTTCTCACGAGAACGATTGCTCTGTTAGTCAACCATTCAAGGACCTTTTTTTTTCAGTTATACATGTAAACCCCATACTTTGTGAGTGGCTTGCTTACATCAAGTCCTACAACTTTTCCTCTACGACTTTTCTCGGAAATGACACGTATGCGCGCAGGCGACTCGCAAACATGTCGATCTGACGTAGCTATGTTTCCTGATACATGTAGGTAAATCTAATTTTACGAATACTGTTTGATTTTTATGTCTAAATCACGGAAATCAACTTGGCCGACAAAAATAATGGCAAATTGGGGGAGTCTGATACCCCCAAAATGTCGATCTGACGTGGTTATGTTTCTTGATACATGAAAATCTAATTTCACGAATAATGTTTGATTTTTATTTCTAAAGTCCGATCCCCCTAAAATGTTTGCGAGTCGCCTGCGCGCATACGTGCCATTTCCGAGAAAAGTCGTAGAGGAAAAGTTGTAGGACTTGATGTAAGCAAGCCACTCACAAAGTATGGGGTTTACATGTATAAGTGAAAAAAAAGGTCCTTGGATGGTTGACTATGTCTTTCAGTCAGTGTTATGGAAATATTAATATGAGTGACTAATACAGAACCTTCGTTCTCATGAGAACGCTGCTCCCCTGTTACGAAAATACCGGTTTGACCGGAAGTGACCATAACTTTCTTATTACAAATGAGACGCCAGGTATATTTTCCCTTATTTCAATAGAAAACGAGTACAATGCCACCTCATTTGTCACTTTCTGACATTTCATCTCCAAATTATTTAAATTTTTACTTTTTAATCTAGAGCGCCATGAATTCGTTGAAATGCTCAATTTTGCTTCAAGGAACCTGGAAAAATTTGTTTTGATCTTATTTTGTACTTTATATCCTCAACAGACTCATTTAAAGATAGTAGGAGCGCATTTTTGGAATTATATCGATTTTTTCAAATGGAAAGGGTATGGCTCATTAGCATATTCCGAGAGAGCATTTCCTAACGAACAATTTACTACCACACAATCGCTAGTTTATTCAAATATTGAACTAAAATTTTCCAAAAATATTTAGAAATTTTAGAATGCTAGGAAAATTCTTCATTTGAGAGATGAACTAGCGATTGTGTGGTACTGAATTGCTCGTTAGAAAATGCTCTTTTGGAATATTGTAATGAGCCACACCCTTTCCATTTGAAAAAATTGAGATAATTACAAAAATGCGTTCCTACTATCTTTAAATGAGTCTGTTGAGGATATAAGATACAAAATAAGATCAAAACAAATTTTCCCAGGTTCCTAGGAGCAAAATTGAGCATTTTAACTAATTCATGGCGCTCTAGATTAAAAAGTAAACATTTAAATAATTTGGAGATGAAATGTCAAAAAGTGACAAATGAGGTGTCATTGTACTCGTAATGTAGTTTTCTATTGAAATAAGGGAAAATATACCTGGCGTCCCGTTTAAAATAAGAAAGTTACTGTCAGTTCCGGTGAAACCGGAAGTGATAATAAATAATTGAATACGTCAAATAATGCATATCCGGGTCATAAATAAACACACCAAATTTCATTTGTTTATTTGAAAAAATAAAAAAGTTATAAGGGTGAGCGTATTTTGAAAAACACCCGGTATACTATGTCACATATACTCATAAAATGCAGAAAACAGGCGTAAATGTATTTTCCTCAAAATAATAAGTTATCAATTTCTTACTCATTTACAATATGGCTGTTATCGTTATCCTTCTGTGAGTCGGTTATCGTTGTCAAAGGGGTAGTACATCTAGGAGAACTAATATCGTATTTAAAAAAAGATAGGTACCTACATAAAAATTAACTATTTCTAGACATATAACTATAACTATACTTGTTTTGTTTTATCTTTTTCCGTGCGTAATTATAATGACACCATACGTAATCTTATGAAATATACTAAAATTTGACCATAATGTATGATGCACAAGTAAAGGTAGGTATAACCAAACGACGTATGCCTGCTTGATTTTATTTTGGAAAAATCGTAATAAAGCATACAGGTTAAGGTATATTAAAGAATCATACCTTTTTTATTTTAATTTAACAGGGGAATAATTACCTATGATCAAGGGTTTCCTGATGCTCAATTTCTTGAAAATTCGGAGCGGTTTGTATAAATTCCTTGGACCTTAAATGTTAATAATGTTATTGAAATATCAAATGTAATTTGGCATCGTTACACATTGCACTCCTAGAAAATTACTATTATGATTATTTCTTTTGAAATTGAAAATGTTATCAGATTATTTCTTTAGATGCTAGATGGAAGTAGAATGCCACAAGTTATAACTTACCCTAGCGCAATTATGGAATCATCATTGTTACTTGAATCTGCACTTTTTTTTCTTTTACTAAAAATTTAGCTAGTTCAGTATAATATTCTATGCCTGCATTGTAATTTTATGGTTTACAGCCACAGCGCAGAGGGATCTAACTTTCTATACAGGTCTGGCAAGCCAGTATCTTGCATGCCAATTTGAGTGCGATAGAATGAAATAAATAGGAAAAGTCTAAGATTAAATAGAGAACGGAAACGATTTCCTCTATTCCACCTCCAGCATGCAGCGCTGGGAATGCTGGAGAGGAACAGGAGAAATCGTTTCCGTTCTCTATTTAACCTTATACTTTTTCTAGACATTTCATTCTATTGCATTTAAATTGGCATGTAAGATGTTCGCTTGCCAGACCGGTATACCTACTCAACAGGCAATCTAAGTCGGATCTGACGTTAAATTTTTCTCCGTCGTACACATAATGTCTAACTTTCTATCTTTCTGTTGTACACATTGATCTTATGAAAATCAAGGTGACGTTAGACGCAACTTATTGAGTGCCTCCAAGTATACAGGGTGAGTTACTAAGCGCACAGTGGTCTATATCTCCTATACTAACAGAGATCGGAGAAAAAAGTAGATACAAAACTTGTAGATAAACATGAGTACTACATTCCTAAATTATTTTCGAGTATACAGGGTGGCCCAATAAGTAGCGGTGACACAAGGTTATGTTTTTTTTAAATGACTAGCCCTGTAAATTATGACATTTCTGGATTCTGCGGAAAATTCTAGACATATTTCATGTACAATGTCATATCCCTAACTTCAACTGTTCCGGAAATATTGACAGTTTAAAATTGACTTTTTTGCATTTTTGACAGACTGTAAAACCTAAACGGTTAATTTTAGAGAAAAATTGATTTCACATTCCTATTTTAGATTTTCATAAGCTATCATTTGACACCAACTTTAAATTTAACCGGAGATTATAAATTTAAGCGGAATTTTTAATCATGGATGCGCGCTTTAATAAATATCAGAAGACCTTAATAAATAATTATTATCACAACACAAATAATTATTAGGTACTTACCTATTATATTTGATTATGTTATATAATGTCCTCTTCCGTTTCTTGAATTCTAGTGAAGTAATCTTTGTTCGTTTTGAGTTCATTATGAAAAATATTCACCACAATTTACATAAACAAACTAATAACTGAACTCGTAGTCCTCGCGCGTTGTGTAATTTTGACCTACCCCGGTGCGAAATTAAATCCGCCAGAGGGGAGCACCTCGCTGCAGCCAAAGTTTTTGAATTTCCTTGTTTGCAGGGCTCACATTTCGAGATGATATCTCAAAAACTACCTGATATTTTTCAATGAATCAAGAAGATTTGGAAAGATAATAAAATTTAGAATAATGCTCTTGTTTTATTTTTCCAAAAAGAGCTAAGGGGTTGGATATACCGAGCAATAGAAACGATGCTTTTTTCTAAATCGTAATATTTTCAATTCAACAGCATTAATCTATAGACTTTTATCTTTTATTTTTTTCTGATCCGGTCAAAAAATATTACAAAATAAGTGAGTTCTCGTCTCGGGAAATCAATCCTATTTCTCAACTTTTAACGGCTTGTTGTTGGCCTCTTCATAACTTTTAATATCTTTTTTATGAAATCTGCTTTATGATCAATTACCCTAATTGATTATTTTTACCCATTACATTCAGATATTTAAAATTTCAATTTCACTTTCTGACATCGAAGTGAACTTTAACTAATTATTCCTGATTTCTAATTTATCGAATTTATTATGGGTTTATCTTTGCTTAACTTTTGGTACCGCCATGATTAAAAAATGTATATTTTAATAATCATAATCATTAATCTGAACTGAGGTCAAGGTTGGACAATATATGTTCTAAATTTAAAATTATTGAGTAAGTACATACATCGACAAAAATTGATCAATTTTTCACTTGGGTTCTATAATAACTTATATACTTGAGGATTTCGGTTATATCTCCTTTATACCTTAAGGTTAAACGTTACCTTTGATTTCATACAATTTGAATTTGATTTTGGTCATTTTATTTTTATGGCAGCAGCTGACCATATTTATCCATATAATAATATTCAATCCTTCCTTTTTTTTACTAATTTTCTGGAAACCTAAATCCTCCATATTTTTGTTTCAAATTAATGATATGGCCAGCGACTGTTAATGAACTTATATGGCAAGTATATCGACGTACATTGTAATATATATATATATATTTTTTTAAATTTGATGAAACTGATTGAGAGTTAACCTCTATTATTTATTGATTTTATTTAAAGTATTATACCAGCAATTGATTTTATTCTTTGAAATTATTCAATACTTGATTTTTGACCTCACTGTGAAATATACACTTATTTAATTTGAAACTTACCTAATTGTTTTATTGGTTTAGCTTTGTCAAGATTTGGTTCAGTAATATGCCGTATTTATTCTCTTTTC